AGTTCTTAGGTGGGACACACTGTATTTTCCATATATGAGTGTCAAATGTAAAAATGATTCGGAAATAGAGTCCGTGAATTACCGAAAATGTCCTTCCAATATTTTTCCACGCTTTTGTACCAGAGATACCGCGCAGCAATTTCATTCTCTTAGAATCTGCCAAAACGAAGGAAAAATCATCGCAAGTCGTCACGACGCATTCGAATGCCGTGACATTTTTTATCAGATCGCTCCTATTACGCCGAATCCGGTTTTGGAGTGAACGTAATTATTTTACAATTTGTCCCGGCCAGTTGCGTCTGTTTCTATTTCGTCGGGAATCGTTTACCTGTTCGCGGTTTATCGCAAGGTTACGCGATAGTGAAAATTCCCTAATTCGAAATATCCGACGCCCTAATAGGAAACCATTTATTATAGATTTTCGACATTTGGAGAACAGAACAATAACGCGAGTATGGTAATTACCCGGTCCTATTCCGGACGAATATGCAACTAAAATATTTGTTTTGCCGTAAATCCCTCGAATCGATAAAGTCAAGGTGGACGCTCGGTTTGGTATGTTAATTTGGCAATATTTTTCTGTGATAAGACTCATAACGGTATCTTTTCCTGGAGATAAATCCCAAATTTTTCGTTCGAATACGTAGAAAGAAGATTTGAAATTTGGTGAAGTAAGCTTAGTGTTTTTGGAGGAAGATTAAAATAAAAAAAATGAAAATAAATAATAAAATAAAAATTAATAATAAAAAGTAGGAAAAATATAATGTCAGCTTTACAAAACTAGCAATGAGGACGATTTTTTGTAGCTGTGCATTACATCTTGACGATACAAACAAGATTGCTTTCGAAAAATCGTCGCCGGGCGGGGCAAGTTCGTCGCAAATAGCGCGAATCAGCTTTTATTCCTGTCCTAGAGGGACGCATTGTTTTTCTATCGTGCTCCTGCGGACCACCATGGAACTTTCGCAAAATCGTTGTAATTTGATTGTGAATACACCCTGTAGAAAGTGTTATTCACATCTCTTCGACCTTCAAAGTTACGGTAAACATTAAAATTTGTACTGATAATTGCAATTTAAAATTATATTTTTTCAAATATCTCGCGTCCACTGTATTATAGACGAAATCTTAATCTCTCTCTCGACACAGTTTCAAATCAAATTTTTAGCAGTCTTTCATTTATCCCCAATAATTTACCAACAAAAACGGAAATTTTTAGAATGTTCTTGATATTTTTGCAAATAAACGACACACCCTGTGTATGATTCAAACAATGTTCCAAAATAGAGGAGACCTGGATCTCCCACGTTTCCTGGTATTTGATTTTTTTCAATGGAGTAAGTGGTTTTCAAGAAAATACTTGCATGCATCACGTGGAATGGTAAATGACGTCATCGCATCTAGATTGGGGGCGAGGATCAGCGATTTTCATATGGATATTTTCAAATATCTCGAACAGCGTATGCGATAGACGAAAACCGTAAATATAAAAATTGTTACTCTTGATACGGCCTATAACAATGTGGGAACCGATTGGCCATATGGCCATACTCATTTTTTACCGATTTGTGTAGTTCGTGCACGGCTTAAAATGACCTAAATTTGAAGGTCGTGGTGCAAATTGTTCAAAAGATATAGCCAATTAATGCCAGGTCTACAGCGAAACGTAGAACGGAGAACAGAAAAAAAAAGTTTTTTTTTTCGACGCTGATCATTTCTGTACCAATGGCGGTCCCCTAGGACCTACCGATGCCCAGATATAAGTGTCGTTGCCATTTTTCGAAAGTAACAAGATAGTAATAAGCATTAAGGGATAATTAGATTTACTGCAAGAATTGATAAAAAAATCAGTATCCTATTTCGAATATATCTGGTTATTCCACTTTGGGTTTGAATAATTTGACTCATTTTATTTATTATCTCAGTCCCTAAGTCATTTGTGGCAGTCAAGCAAACCTGTTTTTTTCTCCTGTATTCAACAACAAGCAACAAGTTTGATAAACTCAACATTGTTTATGAGTCTGATTGGCCACTGGCGTAGTCAGAAATTTAATGACGTAAAAGTAAAAAAGTAGTAAGGACTGATGGCCTATAGAACTGTTAACAAGTTTATGCAGCGTGCCAACAAATGAACAAGTCCGTCTAAATGTTAAATGACTCCATGTCAAACAGACATATGAATTTAGCAATTGTTTCCTGTATCTTTTTCTGATGTTGTTACTTTTTGGGCATATTGTAAGCAGTTTAAGTTTTTTTTTTCGGTAAATTTTTAAGTAATTTATTAATTAAGATGATTGCTACTTGTTATGGGGTGCGAGTTAAGGTCTTTTAAAGAGATACATTGTGCACAATTCATCACTCATAATTAGAGATAGAAGTGGAAAATAGTATAATATACACCAAGTTTGACAAAAGTCACACTGATAACGGATAACAAGCTGGCATTTTAGAATACTTAAAAAACCCGACCATTTAAAGTGACACTTGCCGTACATTCGATGCATTTTAGAGTAAACAGAAAAGATAAATACTCTTATGTGTCTAACAATTTATCTTGACAACATTTTAATTGGACGTAAGTTTTTTGTTTTTAGAGATATAAAATTCAACAAAAAAAAGAGGGGTTAGTAGCCAAGTTTTTTCCAAGTAACGTATTAAACTAAACACTATCAATTAATCAATCAAATATAAGCCTACATCATATTTTTTTCAGTGGAACACCCTGTATGTTATATATGTGTTTAATAGAATATCTTATTGTGATTACACACTTTATATTTTAGTATACTCTTTTTTGGTAAATCAGCAAATACAGGAAATTTCCAAGAGTGCCCTGACTGACAAATAGAAATATGTTTATGTTTGACATATTAGTAAACAACGTTGAAATTTCTAAAGAATGTTGTGCAAGTTAAAAATTTGGAATATCCCAGGGTTTGAATAGAGAACGGCGGAACTATGGATTGGTCAGCCAACAGCCCTGACTTAACTTTAATGAATTTTTTTTTGAGGACACATACAAAATCACGTGCACAAAACTCCTCGTAATATTGTCGTGGAACTTAAGCAACGGGTTTCAGAGGCAATCAATCAGTTAGGAGACCATCCGGAAACGTTACTAAACGCAAGACATCATACAATTAGAGTGTATGATAAATGTATTCAGGAAAATGGTGGTTACATACAGCAGTATTTAGAATAGTTAAAGAATTTTTTACTTTAGTGTATCTTGTCATTTTTAGTGTTCTTGTTTTACTTGAGTTTGTAAATAATTATTGTTGTTGCAGGCAGTCACGGCACTCTTTGAAATTACACATATATAATATAAAAATATATGATATAGGCTTATATGTCAAAAAATTGATAGTCTTTTGTTTTATACGTCACTTGGAAAAAACTTGTCTACTAACCCAACATTTTGTTTTTTTCTTTTACTTTGATATCTCTAAACACAAAATATTACAGCCAATTAAAATGTTATCACGATAAATTGAACGCACGGTACTTTAAATCGACATCTTTATGCATCGACGATCTAGACCCAGTTGGAAATTATTCTAGCAAATTAACCTCTCCAACAGGTATTAATATACATATCAAATCACCTCGTTTTGAGTATTGAAGAAAAAGCGTCAAAGCAAAAGTTCTCACGTAGCGCAAACTGACCTTATCCCATATTGCAGAATACGAGATACATAGTTATTGTTTCCTGTGACTGGATATTGCGTTACTCATTCGCGCTGCGCATAATGAGATAATAAACGACGGGAAAAAATTGAATATGTATTGTACAGAAATAAACACGAATTACCATATCCTTCGTTAAAAAAAAATGTTTATATTTCGCTACAGTTTTAATCTAACAAATATGCAGAATTTACTAAAGGATACTTAAATTTTAAGTTTTACCCCGTTCTTAAATGTAATGCCTAAATCCCTTAAATATATTTAATGCTAAGTTTTAATGGAAAAGTGATTTGTATTTCCAAATATAGTTGCGGCTAATATGCTAATTAGTTAGCATATTGGTTTTAATATATAATAAGTGACCTATCGCAGATATATTTGGACTGATGCTTAATTCATTATTTATTATTGTTTTTATACTTTAAACGCGATATTTTGCAGTTTTTGCGTTATAGACCTTGTCATTGAAAGTCGAAGGAAAATATTAAAAATTGTCACGTAAAGGTGAAATGGACATAGGGCAATTATTGGACAACATTGTATAACTTACCTTTGGTAACAATTTACTTTAAGTAGAGTAGAGTAAGAGAGAAATTATTGATTCATTTTTTTTTGTAAACAAAGTGTTTATTGGTTTGACTTAAATTTCACCCTTGCAGTTTTTTAAACAAATTGTCCTTTGGCACTTTTATAACATTATTTGGAAGATGAAACTTGCATTTACTAGACCTGCGATGACGGAATAAGCGTTCTGAAACCGCGTCTGAATTGATTTACTCATTCCATGTTTCTTGAGCTGCTTCTTGGACAGTTTTCCACTTAGATTTTACCCACCAGATATTTAGTATTCCATTGTTTTGAAAAAGTCGATCTAAAAAGTAAAAGTATTTATACCAGATACACATATTTACACATTTTATAGTAACGTAATGTAAATGAACTTCCAATTATAAATTTTAATTTCATCGGTCAAATTTCTTGCAATTTGGCAGTAGTTTACAATATTTATATTTTATATAATATTTATATTTATATAACAGTATGAGGAGGACATTATTGCTACAAGATAGGTTTTGATACTTGAACCTTTAAGGGCAAGACCTATTTCAGATGTTTAGCTTTAGGTTTAAACGACATGATAGCTAGCTAAATCGTTGAGAAAGGCGTCGACAGTTGTGGTAGAGGAATTGGACACAGTTCTCAGATCTAGTTTGTAAAAATATTTCTATTTTTGTATTAAAGTAAAAAAGAAAAGTTGAATGCAGTCAAGTATGGAACACGATTGTTTTTTTCAATAAAAACTATATTTTCAGGTATCTTGCCGGAAGCACTGCAGACCAATTGCGGGAGGTGTACCGAAAAACAGGCTGTCGGGGCCCTGCGAGTCATAAAAAGGCTACAAAAGGAATATCCGAAGATCTGGGTTCAGCTGAGCGCGCTGTGGGATCCCGACGAGGTCTACGTGAAAAGATTCGAATCCTCGTTAGCCAGTGGTTCCAGTCCGGGAACATTTAACAATGTTAAACCTGTAGTTATCACCGACAGGTTCCAAGGAGACGAAGGATCGACGACTATCATGACGAATGGAATAGATGGAAGTGCTACGACTATAATCACCACGATATCCGATTTAAGCACTTCACCCTCTACCACGAGCACCAGTTCTAGCACTACGGTATCCGCTAAGAGTACCGGTACTCCTAGCGCGACTACCAAGAGCACCAGCACTGCCCCGCCTACTAGGGACCCATTTGATATTTTGTTAATCACTAACCCACCATTTAGGCCCAACGCGAGCTTTGACTTTAATATCGGAAGTAACATCGGAGCAACGGTGAGTGGTTTGGTAAGAGGCATAGGGGCTTTAGGCACTAGGGTGGTAGAGACGGGAGCTGAAATTGCTGATGTCGTTTTGAGGAGCATCACCAGGCCATTGAGTATTTAATTTCTAATAGTCTTCAATAACGCTTATTTATTTATGTTAGCTTTTGAAACGTATAAACTTTTAGAAGAAATCTAGGCATAACAAAAAGAAAATCGGAAGCTTGCCCTTCACTGTCTTCGTCTGAGATTGCACCCAGTAATATTGTTGCAACTGATAGTTGTTAAAGAATAACTTCTTCAAAAATTGGTATCGACTGTGATATGAAAAATCAATAAAGTTATTTAGTATCCTGGTACTTTGATTTCGAAGTAAAGTACTTTTTTGAGTATTTATATTTAGGAAACAAAAAATAATCAAAACTAAGCATTTAAATCTTATATGCCTTTTAACAAGTAACGAAAACTTAAATTTACAATTTTTGCTATCACCAATAGCCCGGTAAATAAATGAAACTGAAACATCTAAAAAATTGGTGCTATCCTGTATAGAAACATCTCCTGAATCCCGAAAAAATAATATGCCACTTAAAATTAAAAAATTACTGTCATTTTCGTAAAAACCGGAAGTGTATGCATTGACTTTTTGCACTTTCTTGTATCACAGTGGTTGCATACTCTCGGTGTTTAACTATTAGGTATATTCATTATACCAGTGAACAACATTTTTTAGAGAAATTATGTTTTTTTGGTAAAAAAAAACGTACACTGGACCCCGGTTTGTTTGTATTGTTCTGTTTAGATCGTTGCTTAGCAACGCCCACTGCGTATTGTAAACACGTACGTGGTAAGTTTGTCGTTCATTAATTTGGCGCCTGGATAAGTGAGAAAAAAGAGCCACCTGTACTACCGGTACAAACCAAAAATACCAAATTCTAAGGAATTCTTAGTAAGCACACTTTGACAAGAACATTTATTATTTTTTTATTAGATAAAATGAAAGGCGAGGACAGGAAGTTTCGAAATCGTGTCGCCTAGAAGTAATTTTCATTACAGTTGATTTTTCATTAACCATTAACCGCTGCGTTTGAAAATCCCCGGGCAATATTGCGAAGTCCCTCAGTTCGAGGATAAGAAGTAAACGGAAAAACACTGAACTGAACACGAAATACATTCTCAATTAATCTAAGAAACGGATTAAGTCGTTTCATTTCAGTCAGTTGTAAATTTTTTTTGTAAAAATATTTATAAATTAAAGTCTTTCATGACAATTCTTTAGACATTATTTCTCAGCACGAAAAGTTTAACATTTTCGTAATGTTTTTTATAATTCAGATGCATAATAAGTATTAAAAACTATACACTTACATTTTATTATCATTTTATTTTTTGTGAACATTTCAAATGTTTTGTAGCACTGGGTTCCATTTTTTACACAAAGTTGAAATTGGAAAATCGCCGAGCATACAAAACGCGTCTAACGCTTCTGTCTCACAAAAAAAGTAAACTTGCAACCTGGCTGAAAGTGTGTTAGGGACATGTATACCAACATAACAAAAAAAATGAATTACAAAAATCACCTTACTTTTTGAACACACCTCGTACATTACGCGTCTACAGAATATCCCAGTTTTGTACTGCAACTACCAACATTGAAATTTCAAATGATAGGCACTCATTTTCGTGCATTTTTAAATTCTTTATCAAAAACCTAGGCTTATTTTATTGATATGATATGATGGAGATGCAGCTAGACAACAAAAAATACACACAAACTTAAATAGCAACAAAAAATATCTTATACACCGCTACTGCATGTCCGTTAGTTACTCAAACGGAAATTTAGTCCAACAAGTTTTAACTCAAAAATCCAACCCTTCCTTATTATACAAATAAATTATTGTCAACAAATTAAGAATACCCTGGTAAAAAAATTTCTTGTATTTCGATTTTAGCTTTTGTTATTTCTAGGACAACGGGAGGTGTACCGACGTTGAAAATTTGACATTTTCAATTGATATTTCCATTTTTTAAATATTCGTGGTTTCAAAACAGCGTACCAAAAAAAAAACGTTTTTTTTTTCATAAATATTCCAAATTCACCTATACCAAAATTAGTTTTTACGTAATTTGCTCTAAATAAGGAAACTATTTTTTGGTTGGTTTAGAAAAAGTTGAATAACTTTTTTTTGGCTAAGAAGAAGTATTTATAGGAGCAAACAGCAATTTTTATGATTTTCTCGGAAATTTTAAATATAATGGTATAAATATTTTTTGCCAGGACGAAAGAGCGTAAAAAAAAACAAGTAGTGGAAACGGCTTGGCACTATCTATTTTCCCTTTTCAGATATAAATAAAAATGTATGTGCATAGTAATAGTACCAGAGACGACAGACGTGACGTGGGATGCTCATATTTTCTACTACAGTTAAATTTGATTTTGCCCTAATTTGTCCATAATAATCGCCAATAACAAATAATAGTTAAAAATAATTTATTAATATATTACATGTATTGTCAATATTGGAGAAATGGGTAAAATGACTAAGTAGGCTTAGCGGTTGGTATGGTAACGGCACGATTATTTGTAGAGGTATTTTCTGAATAATTCTTTCTAACCTAATTTCCTCTCAATTATGTTTTATACATAAAATAAAAGAAAAGTAGTGTCGAACCTTTAATACAAATCATCATCCCGTCATAATATGTCATCTCTTGGTTAGCTCTAATGCTGCTTCTATTATACCTATTTTTAAATTAATTTTTATTTATATCTTGGAGGTGAAAAACGATATTGCCTCTCTTTAATCTTCTCTCTTTAATCCTTGCTAAAAATATTTATACCAACATATTTCACATTTTCTATTAAATTAGCCAACAAATTGAACCGAGGTGGCTTTTACTTAATAGATAACAACAAAAACCAAGAAATTTCTCAAATGTCACTAGTAAAAACTATCAAAAACAAAGCTTCTGAAAATAACATAATATTTACACTTGCAGATAAAGGGAAGACAGTCATAGCCATCGATCTCCCAGAATATATTTCAAAAACCAAACTTTTCCAATGTATCGAACACGATCCTACTGAGTTATATCAAACACAAATCAAGGAAGTAATTACTAACTCCACAATATTTAGTGATAAAGACAAGTATTTTTTAACAATTGTGAATCCACAACCGCCGAAATTTTATTCTTTAGCTACATTACATCAACAAGATATGCCCACTAGACCGGACGTGTCTTATGTAACAGCAGTTAAACTCTCAACAAAATTAGTAAATATTTTAAAGTCCCACACAGATTTTAAACCAAAATTTGCAATAAAAAATTCTTTTGAATTAATCAACAAAATTAAAGATATCAAAATCCCTTCTAGCGCAACTCTATTGTCTTTTGATGTACAAAACTTATTTCCCAGTATTCCACCTATGGATGTAATAAATTTAGTAGATTTCACCCTAACTCAGAAACAGGTTAATTCATTGGTGAAACAAGATTTATTAGGTTGCTTAATATTATTTTTATACAAAAATTATTTTGAATTTAATGGACAGATTTACATCTCTAAGGAAAGTTTGATTATGGGAAACCCACTTAGTCCTTTGTTAGCCGAGATTTTTATGGATAATTTGGAAAATATTATACTAGAACATCCTTTAAGTAAAAGTTTTCTATGGTGATACAGATACGTGGATGCTTGCTTTGTTGGAACGGACAGACGATTAAATTCTTTTTTACATCAACTCATTACATTATCGAGATTGAACAAGATAACTCTATTAATTTTTGAGACTTAACTATTACGAAAACGCAAAACAAATTAGGCTTTTCCATTTACCATAAACCTTCACAGACGGACACAGTCATAAATAACAGCTCAAATAACCCTTATATACACAAAATGGCTGCATTTCACTGTATTATACACAGACTTCTTAATACGCCACTCTCAACAGAATATTACAACAAACAACTAACAAATTATAAATAAAAAACAAATCCAGGCAATAGTAAAGTAATACAGAACACGAACGAAGTTTCAAAACATTTGTTGAAATGTGGTTTAAAAATAGCTTTCAGAACTAACAAGACAATAGCAAAAAAAAATCAGGTAGATCCTTCAAGAAACGCATTAACGAACATAAAAGGGCGTTTAAAAACAATAGTCTAGATTCTAATTGTGCTACACACTTAAACACAGAAAAACTTTTTTTGACGAAAATTTCGATATTTTACATACAGCCACAAAAAGGAGAAAATTAAATTTATTGGAAATCATGGAGATTAACAAAATGAGACATTCAAATGAATCGCTTAACAATCAATTAGATTTAAATACCGCTCCATTATAAACTTAATGTAATTTTTCTGTATATATATAGTAGCAGGTAGTTTTTAAATATTACATTTGATAAAGAACTTTTAGATCTTGTTTATTTAGCCAAAAAAAGTTATTCAACTTTTTCCAAGCCTGTATTTGACCCTTCCCCCACACTTAATTTGACGAGATAGAAAAAAATAATTCAAACAAAAAAGTTTCCTTCTCTAGAGTCGAGTACGTTAAAACTAATTTTGGTATAGGTTAATTTGGAATATTTTTGAGAAACCCCGCTTTTTCTATTTTACAGTAGAGGTTACGCCTCCTAGCGGTCATTTTATGAACCTGAAAATAATTTCCAGCTTTTTCTGTTGGCTGATTTACCTATAAATATTTTTTTTCTAAGTAGTACTAACGGTCCTTTTATTAACTTTTTTTTTTAATTCAATTTTAAATAAAATCCATTACACCAGAAGGTTTAATTTCTTTACTCTAAGGTACTCCTTATGTGTAGTGTTAATAAAAATCTTCTCAATTTGCAAAAAATGTCGAAATGAAACAGCCGTACGACTCATCTGACGTTAATCAACTTTATTAATCAATTATTATTTATTGGTTATTGGTGCTTCATTGAATTTATTATATAATGACTGCAGGCCTGTTTAGCAACCGAGAATATATATACTCACAATCGAATTTACATTAATCACTACATAAAATCACAATCGTTTTTTTTTTTAATTACATTTGCAGTTGCAATATCTATTTTTGTTATTTTATTAATTTTTGTTTATGATGTTATAGTGTATTTAATAGCATAGTTTGATATACAATTATGTCTGCCTAGTTTGATAACCATTCGGCTCGATCAGCAAGCCATAAACTTCTCTTCACAAAATACGAATTCATTAAACACGCCTTTTAATATCGAGATGCCGTTTGATGTATTGCGTTGTTGCTATAACCAGCATCATGTAACTAATCTTATTCTAACATCGCAGATATCATGTTCACGTTTTAGGTGAAGGTCATTAAAAGAGTAGAACACATCATAGCTTCCGCAGCAATTGAAAAACTAGGATACTTGAAGAACATCCTCCTCGGTTGATGAATTTCCACCGCAGAATCTAAACCTGATCGATTCGTTGTGCAGGCTGGTGCCACCGGCGATGGTTGGGTGAAGATAGGGACACCATATTAGTTTTACTTTACCGCCGGGTTGAACTTTGATCTCCTTTTCCGTAATGTCGTTCGAGTTCATCGACTGTGGTTCTATTGGGTTCAAAATTACAGATGTTACTGTTAATGCCGCCTCATGCCCTATACCTATTTATATTATGTAGAAATAATTATCGCTTCGATTTTATATGTTTCATTAAAACGTTGTTACTGTGAACGTGTTGTTTTAGTTACGTTATATGCGCGTCAAAATTAAAAATGAAAATAAAAAAAATCGTGCTTTGGTATGAGTTTAAATTTGTCAAGAGTGTTGATCTTTTACCTTCGTAGCTACGGTTAAACAAATAAAACGTGTTCATGCAGTAGTT